GGTGATAGTCACTCAAATCAGAAATATTAAATTAATTGGAAGAAGAATGATAACTTATAATTATTGAGTGAGAAATATAAGCACAAATCGCTTGTTAGATAGAAATGTGATTACTTGGACTGGGACATACAAAAAAAATATATATATATACATATATATATGTATATATATATATATATAGTATGATTTATTCCTTTACAATATTACCTGTGTTTTTTATTTTTAAGGGATTTTGTGCATCACATGATCTTGTGTTATCCAAAGGGGTTTCATGTAAGATTTTAAAGTGTGGATTTAGTTTATTTTTGATCCAATACTGAAGTCTTTAACCTTTCTATTGTGTTTTTAGCTTCAGCTTTTTATCACTTTCCCTTTGAAATTGCTATATTAAGCAAAAAATAGACATTGAAAATCATTTTTTAATTTGGGTGATTATTTGCTTTAAATTACATTCTTTGAAGTAATTTATATTATATTATTTCTAAATGAGAATTAATTGCAATTTCTAGATGCTTTACTTTTTAAAAAATATTTTGATTCTTTAGTTTTTTAATTAATTTTTACTTGTTTTAATTAGTTATTCATGAAAGTAGAATGCATTTATGCATTTTGACATATCATACTTAGATGAGATATAGTTTCACATTTTTCTGAGTGTACATGTTGCAAAATAATATTAGTCATGCAGCCATATATATATATATATATATATATATATATATATATATATATACAGAAATAATGTTTGTTTCCTTCTACTATCTTTTCTATCCCCACATCCCCTTCCTTCCCTTTCCATCACTTCCCTCTACCTAATCTAAGGTAAGGCTATTTTTCTCCAGTGCCCACTGCCTTATTGTGAATTAGCATCCACATATTGGAGAAAAATATTGGCTTTTGGTTTTGTAAGATTGGCTTATTTCACTTAGCATGATATTCTTCAACACCATCCATTTATTGGTGAATGCCATGATTCCACTCTTCTTTACAACTGAGTTATATTCCATTATGTATATATACCACATTTTCTTTATCTATTCATCTATTGAGGGACACCTAGGTTGGTTCCATAGTTTAACTATTGTTTTATTTTCATCTTCAAATCTGAAACTTAATTTTTCTGGATATAAAATTCTTGGTTGGCATCCATTTTCTTTCAGAGCTTGAAATATGTTATTCCAGGACCTCCTAGCTTTAGGGATCTGGTTTGATAAATCAGTTGAGGTCTGAATTGGTTTCCCCTTATACATAAGTATTTGATTTTTTTTTCTCACACAGCCTTTTAGATCTTATCTTTATTCTCTGTTTTAGTCATTCTCATTACATGTGTCTTAGTGTGGGGTAGCTGTAATTTTGTACATATGAGGTCCTATAAGCCTCTTGTATTTGATTTTCCATTCTATAGGTTTGGTGTAGTTTCTGCTATTATATCATTGAAAAGAGTGTGCATCCCTTTGGTTTGTATCTTTCCTCCTTCATCTATTCTGATAATTCTTAAATTTGTTTTTTTTTTTTCATGTTATCCCATAATTCTTGGATGTTCTATTCATGGTTTCTTACCATTTTCTCTGCATAGTCAACTCTACATTCAAGCCTATATATTTTGTCTTCATTATCTCAGATTCTTTATTCCAAGTGGTCTAGTCTGTTGGTGATACTCTCTGTTGAATTTATAATATGGTTTACTGATTTCTTCATTTCAAGGATTTCTTCTTATTTTATTTCATGATCTCTAACTCTTTATTGAAGTGGTCTTTCACTTCTTGTATTTTTCCTTTGACTTCACTCCTTATACTATCCCTTACTTCACATTTCAATTTAACTATGTGTAATCTGAACTCCTTCATGAACATTTCTTCTACTGTGTGATCAGTGGCTTCTGTTGTTGAAGCATCTTGGTTTGTTTGGGTGCTTTATTTCCTTGTTTTTTTTTTATGTTGTTAGTGTGTTTTTCCATCTATAAGTATGAATCTAAGGCAGCATAAATTCTACCCTGTAGACTTATAGTGTCCCTGAAGGTTTTCAGCACTTTGCCTTTAATACTGAGACCAATATCAACAGCACCCAGTGTACAGAATATAGCCTTAAACCTAATAGCATCCACTAAGGCATCTACTGCTTTCTCATATTAAACCAAAATGATGAGTTTAATAACTATAGTACAAACAGAAAATTGTTAAAACAGTTTATAATTTCAAATGATGTATGAGAGACAGAGGTAATATAATATGCAGTTTTCGGTTTTTGTGAGGCAGGAAGAGAGAAGCTAGAAGTAAAAATTCACAGGAAGAGTGGAATAGGAGCTGACAGAGATTGGCAATTAGTTGGAGAAAAGTTGTAAAGAAAATCCAAGAAAGTAGACAAGATAGAGAAAGGATATAAACAAAGAGAAAAAATTAAAGACATAAGAATACAAGAAAAATGAAAAATTCCATTCATATATTATTATTCTCCACACAGAAAGTAAAAGACCACTTCAATAAAGAGATTGTGAAAAAAACTAAGCAGAAGTCCTCAATATGAAGGAGTCAGTAAACCACATTATAAATTCAATAAAAA